ACAATCACTTTTGGTAAGAAGACTTTTGGACTTTGATGCTTCATCAATAAATGCACTGGAGACCTGAAGAGGGCAAAGGTGTGCAAAGAGTTAACACAACCTTCACCCCTACAATATGTTCTATATTCTATAGGTCATAAGAATTCATTCCACCTTTTTGCCCATATACAAACCACATTCTGAGAACCTCTGGTATACTCTGGACATGAAGAGAGCTCTAAAATTTTATAGTGAACATAGTAGGTCATTCAGAACAATACCCTATTCATTGAGTACTTTCTGGAACCTAAGAAAAGTGCTTATGAATATGTCTGAATAATCAGTTTTAATTGGTGCCTCTCAAATACCAAGCAAGTAATTTCATTTTCTTTGGTCCTGGCTGCTGAACCTTGTGAGAGCAGGTCTTTCCTATGGGGGAAGAATACCAGAGTGATGGGTGCCATTTGAACTGGATCTGAGAGCCATGAAAAATGTGGAGCCATCAGCCTCACTTCTGCTGTCTTTTTCTGGTGAATAGTACTGGAGAGCACTATGAATGGTAATAAGACATACAATCATGCTTTTGACAATGGGGGAAGAGCAAAACTGCAGCAATCCTTTATTCATTGCTATATCTGGAAGGAAAATTTCAGTATCTTTGTCTGGTCCCAAATGTAAACAGGTCAATTGATGGGTATGCAGGGCCCCAAGTCTCCCCTAAAAGAGCGTGGGCTCCACTCTCCCATGTGTATTCTTTACCAACTTGACCTATCTTTCATGGTTAGCTCCCCTTTTATGTAGATTCCTGTCTGCCCAAGAACAATGGAGACTGGGCTTCTGTAGAAGGAGCAAGGATTTGGTACCTCTCTTGCTTGTTGATATAAGTCCCTGCTGAAAGCATTGTAAGACATCACAAGGATGCCTGTTGATCGGGATTGGAGTTGGGGTTGTTAGGGCATATTGATTGCTCTGAGCTCAAGCCACTTGCTATAGTGTCGGAGCTGTGTTTGTTCATGTTCCCTGACTGAGCTTCTGAAATGGGCATTGATTGTCACCACCAACCCTGACATGGTGTGGCCATCTGAGTACCTACCTTCTTCTAGCCACACAGAGAGCAAGCATGTTCTCTTTATGCTCCTTTGAGCACTAGGATTAGGGAAGACACAGACTGTGGGCTAAGGAAGATGAGAAACTTCTTGAGAGGGAGTACATAGAACTTCACCCACAGCAGTACATCAGTCCAGGAAGCCATCAGAGTCCTCAAAGCTGTAACTGGAGAATTGGTAACATTGGTGGTATCTTGGGCACCAGCTCTTGCTAGAGAAAACAAAAAACAAAAGCCACTTTGAAAGCTGGCATCTAGGACTTCCCCAGATGCAATAAACTGTGTGGAGGCATATGACTCTTAGTAGTATTGACAAATCTGTGTTGTTCCAGAACAGGTGTAATAATTGCTTTGAGAGTCTTCTCCAGGCAAGGTGCTCTGATGAACAGGTCATTTTATAATGGGAAGCTGGAAAGAGTTCACGTATAGAAGATAAGTAGCACTTTGGTAAAACACTCTTAGAGAAGTAGGTATACCAAAGGGTAAAAAGCAGCATATTGAGGAGGTTGTCTTTTGCACATTAAGTGGACAGACCTCTCTTGAGAAAGTTATAAAGTAGTATGTAGATAAAAATTCTCTGACTGGAAAATGGGTGGTCTCCCTCCTGAAACTTTAGCTTTTGGAGGGAAAACTTCAGATTGAGTACTGCTCTGTTGTTGATGGAATGCTTGGATTAGAGTCCTCATTTGCTCTAAGAATATATAGAGCCAGTGATGTATTGCTCTTTACATATGGTGGTGTTTCAATTGGTTAGAGGAAGTAGGTGGTGTCGGTAATGTTGGATTTGAAGTTGCATTCATTTCTAAGAAGTAACCCAAGTCGGATGTGTCTAAGACCCATGTGACTGGCATAATATGGATCCAAAACATGAACATTTCCTGCAGCATACCCCTTTTGTGGGGGAATCACATAGGACTGGGTAAGCCTATGGTCATGCTTGCTTGAAAGTGCAAGAAAATGCTTTGCATCCATCTACCTTTTTAAAAAAAAAAAAAAGGAATTGTAAAGGTCCATTTGATTTTCTTGGTGGTTTGATAAGCCTCGTGTAAGTCTTACCTGATTGAAAGGTATGCCAGGACCCACAACAGGGTCTATTTTCTTTTTAATTATGAAGGTGAACAAGGTTCTTAGATTCCTCCCTCACCCCCCAAAGGATGGGAGTTTTATCCATAAGGTCTCAGAGCATTCACCCCAGTGTGCTTCACTGTGACCACCACCTGCTTTCCACAGCTTTAGCCAGAGCTGGTGTTACGACACTGAATTATAACTCATTGCTTTTGCTGTCAAACTCAGGTCATCCAGAGAAGCACATACCATGAAAGGATTTTTAAACTAGAAGGGGACACAAACATGCCAGCATAGCTATAGTGGCAGACGTGGAGGCAGCTGCTGCCTGAAAGGCTACTGAGCTGGCTGGCTTTATTTGTTATTGCCACATCTTTGGCAAGAAGGTGGCATCTGTGTTTGGGAATGTAACCAGATCAGATTTACTTGTGGGTGGTCTCTCTCTCCTTTACCACATTTTCCAAGCTTACCAGGCATTCCTATTTACCCTCCCTCGTGATACAAAAGCAATGGGACATTCAATAGATAAATATTGTGTAAGTAAAATACAAGCAGTCTTCTTAGGTGCTTGTTCTAGTTGTTCTCTCCCCCACTGTTCACAAAAGTCAACCATCTGATTGAAAAGGCAGAATGGAGTCTGTGGGTATCGCTGAGAGTTGAGATTTGCATGATTAATGAGAATCCTCCCCCAACAGAATTCAGGAGGGATTCTATATTGTGCCAACCTCTACCAACATATGTCTGGCTATTAGCTAGGATGGGCAGGAATGGTGTCCCTAGCCTCTGTTTGCCAGAAGCTGGGAATGAGCGACGGGATGGCTCACTTGAGGATTACCTGTTTTGTTCATTCCCTTTGGGGCACCTGGCACTGGCCACTGGACAGGATACTGGGCTAGATGGACCTTTGGTCTGACGCAGTAGGGCCATTCTTACGAGTAGCCATCTCTGCTCTTCAAGTAATAGTGGTATTCAAAAAAGTCAGCTTTGAGTAAATCTCCCATCTCTTTCCCTGTAAATCCTAAGTATATCTTGTAAAAAAAGAAAGAGCAAATACAATATAACCAAAATCTTGGGGGGAGAGCCCTTATCTCCAAGTAGCTTGTGTCCATGTCCATCACTTTAAATCTCCTCTGAAACCAATTTACTCTCTCAGCTCTCTGGCTTAGGCACACATTAAGTATTCAGAACCCAAGTCAGTTCTCACTAACATTTTTGTACCCTGAGCTGATCTACAACGGGATGCAATGCCTGCAGCCCCAGAAGTACAGTATCCCCACAAGTAACTGTATCAGGCTTCAGCCCCCCAAACCAGAGAACCCAATTAAGCTTAGCTCCCCCATGCATGAGCCATTGTGCTGAATGCCTAACTCACCAACACTTTGCTACCCCACACCCCAAAAACAAAAAATAACCCAAACCACAGGTCCACACCAAGATGTGCAGAGTATAGTTTTTCCCAAATTTACCTCTCTCCAGATCCCACACAGAGAGCTCACAATGATCTCAGGTGACTTTGCAGCTCAATGATTTTCACTGCAGCAAGTAGTTTAGGAAGCTAATATTAGCTAGGTATAAGAGTTCAGCTCAAAGAAAAATATACTGATATTCAGGGCTATAGTGTAGTTAACTTGCAGCAAGTGTTGGGTATTACATGAGTAATGGACTTCCCATTATCACAGGCAGGTGTTATACAGGATGTCTTTCCCCTGTGTGCAGGGGAAATCTAGAATAGGGCACTCACTTCCCAATGCAAGACACTTCACTGTGGGTCAGAGTTTAGGGGGCTTGATTAACTAGTGCAAAATACATAATTGCCATACTAGGTCAGACCAATGGTCTATCTAGTTCAGTATCCTGTCTTCTGGCATTGGCCACAGTCAGACACATCGGAGGGAATGAACAGAAAAGGGTAATCAAGTGATATATTCCCTGTCACCCAGTCCCAGTATCTGACAATCAGAGGCTGAGAGAGACCCAAAGCATGAGGTTGCATACTTAACCATCTTATTCTAATAGTCACCAATGGACCTATTCTCCATGAATTTATCTAATTCTTTTTTGAACCTAGGTACAGTTTTGGCTTTCACAACGTTCCCTGGCACCAAGTTCTACAGGTTGATTACACATTGTGTGAAGTAGTACTTCCTTTTGTTTTAAGCCTACTACCTATTCATTTCACTGGGTGAGCCCTGGTTCTTGTTATGTGAAAGGGTAAATAAGACCTCCTTACTCACTTTTTCCACAGCATTCATGATTTTGTGGACTTCCATCATGTCCCCCCACCTCCTTAGTCATCTCTTTACCCAGCTGAACAGTCCCAATCTTTTTATTCTCTCCTTGTATGGAAGCTGTTTCGTATCCTTATTTTTGATGCCTTTCTCTAACTTTTCTATTTGAGATGGGGAGACCAGAACTGCACACAGTATTCAATGTGTGGGTGTACCATGGATTTATATAGGGGCATTAGATTTTCTGTCTTATTATCTATGTAATGTAAACAAGCATCTGGGTTCCACTTCTACAGCAGAAAGTTTAGATCCCTTTATATAAAGGACTGAGTTAAGTTTCAGATTCTCCCTCCCCTCTTTGACCCCCCATCCCCACACAATCTCACCAACTCCCCAGTGCAGATGCTCTGTATGATAATATGAACACAATGGATATGAATTGTTCACAGAAAAAATGGGGGACAGTCCACAAAAAATGTTTTGGAGGTTCACCCAAGAGGTAAGGCCTGCTTGGAGCAGGACACTCCAGAAGAGAGAAAAGTGATACCATTCCATTGTGAGCCATATAAATTATTTCCCAATTCAAAAATCTAGAGAAAGTGTTCATATAACACCATAGCCTGTAGAAAGATTATATTCTTTTATTGGTTTCTTGTTTTACAGATTCAGGTTTTAACTTTCAATAATAAAGTTAAATAAATTGATTCCTTAATCATAAAAAACTTGCTTTACACATTATTTACATGTAGCCAGAGACTACAGCCACACAATGTCACAGCTATATAATGTACCTTCACACAGGACAAGCTGGGGTGGGGGAGCTAACTGCAATGACACATTCGAAGATCAAGTTGTGGATATACAGAGTGTATTTGGCACAACTCACTAAATCTTAAGGTCTGGCTCTGAAACAGGAAATACTTGCTTTAGTAAAGATATTCAGGAATTTGCTAAGGGCCAAAAAACCAGTTCAGGTAATGCAAGACTTTTTTGGCAGTCTGCAGATTGGTGAAAAGATCAAAAGAAACACAGAATTAAGTCTCATTTTCCTGTTTTATTTCTGTTTACTGCCAATACCAGAACTGCTTGACAACCTTTATGTTTACATGAAGGTGGTCTTTGCCTTGAGAAAAAAAATTCACAATACCCAAGCTCTCTCTTCAAGAGCAAGTCATTCATCCCATCCCCAAAAGCTAAATGTATGTTTAGTGGGGAATTACAGGGACCCCAAGAAGCCATTGCATGTTAAATTGTCTATCTTGTTTTATCATAGTAGAAACAGGGTGAACATCAAAAGCCAACCCCACGAATGAGATTAAATACACTGTACTGGCATTACAACCCATAGGGAATATCATCTTGACGTCCTTGAAAGAATCAGCTCAAAGCAGTGAGCAACTTGATCAAGGTCCCTTTGTCTCACACAAAACTTGAAATGAGGCAGTTCACATTATTATAGGTTTTTTGGGGACCTGCAATACGATATAAAAGGAGGGAGAGGAAAATAAAAAGTAAAAGTTACTGATGCTAACAATATCTCTCCAACCTGTACTGTAACATTATATCTATCCATGACAAAGCATAGTAAGTGTGTTATTTTACAAAACAAAACAACCCCCACACATTTAAAATCTGACAGTTCCCTTTTTAAACTGAAATAAAGATTTCCCATGTAGTGCTTTGCCAAGCTTCCTACCTTCTTAAAGAGAAAGCAAAAGAGGACTAAATCTCTGAGGAGGGGGACAGATCTGAAACACCTGTTCAAGAATCAGCTAACAATTCTATAAACTCAAGGACAAAATAAAGGATATAGTTTCAAAAAGACAAACATTCAGCAATAAACAGTACAGCTCTCTTTTTAGATCCTGCTTATTCTTTCATACTTAAAAGCATTTAGACAGATGAAAATTTCAATTTAAGAGCTTTTATTTCAAGTGTATTTTCTATATTTAAATAATTAAATGAGGACATTCTGTCATGGAGGTTTTTTCCCCCCTATAACTGTCAAGAGTTCTTTATTCAGATATTAACCTAATGCTGCACTTCTGGTTACATTGCTTCATCATTCATGATCGCAAACATGAAAAAAAAAAAACCATAATAAGAGCACTGTCTGTTTACTAAATCCATTCCCTCTCTTCACTGCTATTTGCAGACTTCCTAAACTCAGTCTTGAACATATCTAGTTCAGAATGTATATTTACATCTGATGGAGACTTCCCTGAAATGTACACAATTAAACATTGCCTTATGGCTAAACAGTAATAAGGAAAGCACAGTGGCAATTTGTATTGTTTCTTAAATAGAGATTGAAAAATAGAATCAGCAACCCAAAATCTAAATCTAACACAATCTGAGACTGGTTTATCCAGCTAGAGACTTAATTCACTTAAAGTTTTAATTTTAAGAATAGTACTAGATCAGTGGAATATAAAAAGTCATTGACAATGTTAATTATATTTTGGAAATCTCAATTTACGTCATCTCATCACCTATGGGTGCTCAATTCAGTGTCCGTTGAACTCAACAGGAATTTGGCTTCGCTGGGTCCTAGGGAAGAAGGGAATATATCTAGGGCTATATGTACATTTTTAGAAGGCTTTTGCTTTTAAACATCCTTGTCCCCCAAAACCCCCACAATTCACCCTGGATATTTCATAACAGACTGCTGCTTAATGCACTTATCCCAAAATAAGGTAATGAAAAAATCTGTGGCCTCTTCAGATTCCAGAAACTTATTACCTGTGCTTTTTATCCTATTAGACGCTTTGTCTTGTCAGCTTATAAATGGGAATCTTTTCATTCCATTTTTATGGTCACCAGAACAGTTACTGATATACACAATACACAAACACACACCTAACATATTTGAAGATATGCAGGCCAATAGTTCTCAAGTGTTCATCTATGAGGAACACAGGGAGGATAAGGAATGGATAGGCATATAATGGCAGACAAGTCTTCCACTTTTCTTATATTGCCCTGTAGTTTTCACAATGATACTATGAATGTTTCCCCTTAGAAAAGAGCAACATTATTCTTACATAACATTTTGGTCACTGGAAAGAAAAAAGACAGAGGTGGGGGCATAGAGCATTTGATCAGCTCCGCTTAAAATTTATACAAGGTCATTTGCACAAATTAACAAACCTGTGCATTTCCCCCTTTCTGCAGAAGGATTCTCACACACTCACACGACAGACTCTCTAGAAAGGTAAGACACTTTATTGAGTTTGTTGATAAATTAAGAAAATTACTATGAACCAGACTTGTACAGATCACAGGGTGCTTGTAAACAGAGATACTGGATCCTTTCCATGGAAAGCCTGACAGAGTGCTCAGCAAGAAGTCATTTTCCCCAACGCTGCTCACAGGCTGCATAGTGATGGAGGGCAGAAAAAAAATCTTCATAGCTGATATTCAGGTGTGAAGGCAAAGAACTGAGGAAACAAATTAGGAAGGAGTCATATTAAGGCAACTATTTTATATAAAGGAGTTTGCCCGGGCAAGGAAATGTAATTTCTGGTTAATTATCACAATCACAACAACAACAGTTAACTGAGCTGCAGAGTTCTGGTACCCCTCAAATAACCCTCATAATGAAGGGCTTATCTATACACAAACTGCACTGAAAAAGCTAATTTGGCTGTAATTAACAAGTTTTTTATTTTGGCACAAGTTTGTCCGTGGACACTGACAGAGCACTGTGAAATAAGTGTGAGACAGAGACTTGTGCCAAAATAAAAACCGTGTTAATTACGGAGAGGCTAGCTATTTCAGTGTAAATATGGTAAATTTGTGTGTAGAAAAGCCTTAAGACACTACAGTACTTAAGCAACTTATGTAGTACCATTACCATGCCCTTTATTTAAGAGTTCTTCTACTGGCTTCTGAAGTAGCCCACAAAATGCACAAAGAGCTGCTGCTTCCCACAACACTGAGAAATTTTCGAATATTTTCAAACCACAGAAGAAAGTTTAAATCTTCTTGGTGAAAGTATGATTGAGCCCTTTTTCTATTAAAGCACTCAAAAGACAGTTACAGGTTTGACTTCATTAATGAAGTGTCAGTAGGAGTCCTAAGGTCAGACACACTTCTGCCTTAATTCAGAGTGCTCCTGGACATGGAAAAACCCCAACACGTCTGACCCCATAACATCTCTTCAGTTAAATCTAGAAAACGGACAAGTATATTTTAACAACCTCCATGTGTAGACAGAGGGCAACAGAGCCTTACGTAACTTAATTCTAAGTGAAAAGTACATATCAACAGCAAGAGACATGCTCCTGTTATGAGCAAAGGTCAAACACATACAATTCAAAGACAACTTGATATAAGCGGAGGCACAACACCGCCACACAAAACTGATGGCTTAATACCTTCTCAACTATGAAGCCAATGGTCTTTATTTAAGATGCTACTGAATCTTTTCTGAAGAACTTATCAAACAGGGCATATAACAAAAGGATTTGGGATCCTCCTAACTGAACTGATCATGACAACACTTTTTAGAAGTTTTTTTTTTTTTGCAGGCATCATGGTCAGAAAAGGAACTGAAGTGCAACAATCAATTAACAGAGACACTAGAAATATATCCTCTGGACTTCAAGGGACAAAAACCTCTAGAACTAATGGAGTAAATGCTTCTTGTAGGAGACAAGCAAAGCCCAAAAGCAGGGAACCAAATCAATATTCTCTCTCTGTAATAGGAGACGGTAAAAACTGATGCACAGAACAGATACTTTCTGTACAATCACTGTCTCCAAGCAGAACTTAGGACTTACTTTTTGTCTGCTGGAGGGATTTCATCTCTTTCTTTCTGCACTACTTTAACTTAACAGTTTTATTTTATTTATTTATTTTTAATTTTAAAGAATGACTATATTCCATTCTGGTTAACATAATGATTTATAACCAACTCACATGATTTCTGTCAGTCTGATGTGCCAGGGAAGGAATCCTAATGTGCTGTCCACAGGACCAAATTTCAAAATTAAATCAGGGTCAGGGAAACCTTTATTACCTACAAAATAAATGAATGAATAAATAAATAAAGAGAGGGAAATAAATTAAAGTTTATGAGATTAGATATTTACACGCAATTTTAAGAGACTTATTTCACATGCAATATGCATTTGTTCATTTAAAAAAAATCAAATTACATAAGAGACTGTAAAAAGTGTTAGAGAAAAGAGATGAGCCCTGCACCTTTTTTGAAACAAGTAACTGGAGTAAGAGGTTGAGGCCACCACTGGTAAGAGTGGGCTGCTATGTCTTGCACCAGCTATAGTCTGGGGACTTGGTTTTTAAAAAATAAATAAATAAATAAATAAAATATATATTTTTTTTCACAGTAGGATTCTAATGTCTTCACATATATATGTGAAGACATTAGAATCCTACTGTGAAAAATCAAATTAGCTGATATATTGACCATGATGTCACATAACATACATCACAGAACTCTCCACAAAACACCCCAATCACTGGGACACCGCTGAGAAAACTTAGTGATTTATTACATGGAGAAACTTAAAAAAAAAAAAGGACAGTCTGCTCTTAATGTACAGCTTCTGACAGATTTTTACTATCTAGTGATCCCTGTGCTTTAAACACAAAAACAGGCATGAACTGCTTAATTTCTTGTACTTCGCCATTGTTCTTAATGACTTTGGACAAGAGACAATACGTAGTTCTAATAAAGTGTCTGTAGGAGTCCTAAGGTCAGATGCACTTCTGTCTTCATCCAGAAGGCTCCTGGACATGGAGATACCCCAATGCATCCACAAAGGATGCCTCTGACCCCATAATGTCTCTTATAGACAATACTTACCTCCTCTGAGGTCAGTAGATGTTAAAAGGAGGGAAGTATCATAGAATATTAGGGTTGGAAGAGACCTCAGGAGGTCACCTAGTCCAATCCCCTGCTCAAAGCAGGGCCAATCCCCAACTAAATCATCCCAGCCAGGGCTTGGTCAAGCTGGGCCTTAAAAATCTTTAAGGATGGAGACTCCACCACCTCTCTAGGTAACCCATTCCAGTGCTTCACCACCCTCCTATTGAAACAGTGTTTCCTAATATCCAACCTAGACCTCCCCCACTGCAACTTGAGACCATCGCGTCTTGTTCTGTCATCTGCCACCACTGAGAACAGCTGAGCTCCATCCTCTTTTGAACCCCCCTTCAGGTAGTTGAAGGCTGCTATCAAATCCCCCCTCACTCTTCTCTTCTGCAACTAAATAACCCCAGTTCCCTCAGCCTTTCCTTGTAAGTCATGTGCCCCAGCCCCCTAATCATTTTCGTTGCCCTCCACTGGACTCTCTCCAATTTGTCCACATCCCTTCTGTAGTGTGGGGACCAAAACTGAACACAATACTCCAGGTGTGGCCTCACCAGTGCCGAATAGAGGAATAATCTCTTCCCTCGATCCGCTGGCAATGCTCCTACTAATACAGCCCAATATGCTGTTGGCCTTCTTGGTAACGAGGGCACAGAGCTGACTCATATCCAGCTTCTCGTCCACTGTAATCCCGGGGTCCTTTTGTGCAGAACTACTGCTTAGCCAGTCAGTCCCCAGCCTGTAGCAGTGCATGGGATTCTTCCTTCTTAAATGCAGGACTCTGCACTGGTCCTTACTGAACCTCATCAGTTTTCTTTTGGCCCAATCCTTCAATTTGTCTAGATCACGCTGGACGCTATCCCTACCCTCCAGCGTATCTACCTTTCCCCCCAGTTTAGTGTAATCTGTGAACTTGCTGAGGGTGCAATTAATCCCATCATCCAGATCATTAATAAAGATGTTGAGCAAAACTGTCCCCAGGACTGACCCCTGGGGCACTTCGCTTGATACCGGTTGCCAACTAGACATCAAGCCGTTGATCACTACCTGTTGAGACAGACAATCTAGCCAGCTTTCTATCCACCTTACAATCCACTCATCCAATCCATACTTCTTTAACTTGCTGGCAAGAATACTGTGGGAAAATGGAGGCACAGAAAGATAAAGTGACTTGCCAGAGTCCATTCTGCAAGCCACTGGCAGAACCAGGAATAGAATCCAGGTCTCCAGAGTCCCAGTCCAGTGCTCTATTTAGGCCACACTGCATTCCAGCTCTGTGGATTAAATTTGTAAACTAGACTAATTCCATTTTAATATGGTTTGATAAAGTTGTCATTGTGGTAGTTTTAAAAATGCAGGATTATTAGAAGCAGGCTTAGCAGGGTTGTGTGGTAACATTTAAACTCCTACCCACACTACACACTTCAGGCTAAACTGTAATGCTCTGCCAACATCCATCTTGGACAACTCCCACTTAGAGCCAATCATACTGTAGTGAGTGGTGTAGGTCTCCTCAACCATCTGCAGAACATACTGTAGTTATGTCAGTAGTTTAACTAACTGAATGGCCCCACAGTAAGAAAATACCTAGGCTTGGATTTTTTTGGTATTAAATGTAAGATTGGAATCAAATTTCCTTCATTTTTGGGAGTAATTCCATGTACAGCAAGAATCAGATATGCCTCTTTCAAATTAGACATGTAAGAACTGTCTATATGGAAAGTCTGACATCCTTAATTTCCTATGCTGATGCTCTAGTATTGTGTTAAGGGAGGAAACAGATGACCAAGTAGCTCAGTTCTTCTTGCAGAGCTGGAGCCCTGCATCTGACATTGATGGGAAAGTCCAAAACAAAGGCACAACACCAAGCCATACTAAAAATCATTTCAAAAACCTTCTGACAAGGGTAGAATTATCACTAGAATATGGGTTGTTCGCCTACTCCATTCCTCTGGGAATTGGTTGAGATTATTCTGGTTTTTAGGATTGTGACACAGAACCTTAGGTATGGAAATGGTTGACTGAGGCAAGCGTCCTCACCTCTGGAAGAGTTAATCTCTGAAGGAAAAGAAAGGGACATTTCAGATTTAGAGCCATTGGGACTATATGGTGTGATACACAAGAAAGGTTTCCATAGAAGGAGGGACAAGTCTGAGGTAGCCACAGTAACTATCTTGTGCTCCTGTTGAGTGTTTCCTACTGCATTCCAGAGGCTGGAGAGAGTGTGGTGGCCTGATTAGTTGGACAGATTTGGGGTAGCAAAGGAATTGTAGCTTCCAACACATCTTCCATGCTGGGGGAGGGATAGCTCAGTGGTTTGAGCTTTGGCTTGCTAAACCCAGGGTTGTGCATTCAATCCTTGAGGGGGCCACTTAGGGATCTGGGGCAAAATCGGTACTTGGTCCTGCTAATGAAGGCAGGGGGCTGGACTCGATGACCTTTCAAGGTCCCCTCCAGTTCTAGGAGATGGGATATCTCCATTAATTTAAAATTTTTATTTATGCCAGAGCCATTGATGTGGCCCACAAAATAGTTCAGTACGAAGAGAAAAGCAGTCACTGAGCTCAGTTCATCCATGTACTCTAGGAAGGACATTTAAGTCAGTATAGGACACAGCAATACAGAAATCAAGGAAGTTCTCTCCTTAGTTTTAACTCTGCCCTGTAATAATGCCATGCAGTAACCAAACAATTCTGATCACGACATCTGTACTTGTAGGCATAGATTCAACTGATTTTTCCATTTCCACATTCCCTCTTTGTGTCATTACAGGGGAGAATTAAGTACCTTAACTGTACATTTTGCTACCTTAACATGTTTAGATTTCTTAAATTTAACCTAATCTCTTAGCATTCAAATAACTAAACGTAATTCTGAAATTCCTGATTTTTATAGTGCTTGTGTTAGAGATAATTAAGCCCTACCTGTAATTTTTTTAATTTCAGGTATGTACACAAACTTAATTCCTAGACAACAACTGATTTAACTCTAATTTATGTCAGTGGTATTATGATGTTGTCAGTAAGAGTATTCTGTTTGGCCCTAAAAGTCAAACCTGTCTTTTGTCCATAAAAGCAATTGTGCATCTACACCAATTTTTCAGCACAATTCAAGAGTAAAGCTTGAATTTTCTTAGTTTCAAAAAAAGTTTAGTTTCCAAGTTCTAGTTAAGTTAAAAGTTAACAAAAATTCACATTCTGCATCATATTATTCTGTAGTTTGGCTGCTCTCACTTGAGGTAGGTTGGCATTAGCCTGAGTGTAGATAATTCAAGTTAATTTGAACGTGAAGACAGGCTTTAATACATTCAGCTGACTCAGTTGAACTTCTCTCCTTCCTTCAGAAGGAAGTTGTTTGAGAATCCCATAAAAACACACTAAGATATGAAGACTGGTGTTGGAGAGGCTATACAGAACACAGATAGGAGGAAGACTTGGAGGGGAGGAGTTAAATCGAGCTTTGAAGGCATAGAAGAAACTGATGCAGAAAGTGAGAGGAAGCCAGTGAGATAGGTTTTCAGAGTGGTCTGCAAAACAGTTTAGCAGCAGCATCTTCAAATGGAACAGAACTTGTTTAAATTTTTTTGACTAATAGAAATTTTGCCAAAACACACCTTTGGGGGCGGGGACGAGGAGCTCAAATTATTCTCAAATTTGGGAAATAGTTTAGGCTGAAAAACACTAAAAAATTTTCAGGATATGGGCAAAAGTTCTAAAATGGTCATCAATGCCGAGCAGGTGATCAAATCCAGATGTAAATCCAATGCCATTCTGATCCAAATATGCCTGTTACAAATTGACTTGTTAGCACATAGTATTCCCCCCTGCCCCAGGCACAATAGAATACTTACTATTTAGTAAGTTGTTTAAAACATTCACATCCAGGTCTGTATATTTTCTTTGCTGTTGTGCTACCAACTGGCAAAAGTTCTGAGCTGCTCTCACTATGTCTGCCTTTCCATCTTCTGGGGACAGCACCTTCAATGTAGATTGGCAATTTAAAACTGCAAGTACAAAGCACAAAGTTGTTTTAAAAGCAAGCGAACTTTTGCAAGAAAGGTTATTTGTTTACAGTTCTAGGTTGATGAACTCTTCAGAGAACAGGGACAGGGATGCAAGTTCTTATATCAATAACAAAGTGTGCACATCTTGAAATCTCACATTTTAAGAAGCAATGCATTAAGCATTTCTACACAGTGTACGAATATGTATATCACAACTACATCTTTTTAAAAGTTTATGGTGTTGATAGTCTCCAGGTTTGTTACCTTAACTTTGTATTTCCTGCAGTTTGACCTTAGGACATCTTACAGGGATCTTGTAAGTACCTAAAAGCCTACCACTTATAAATTTAGTTTAAGTGTCATTAGTCTCAGGCCAGTTTCCAACCTGTGGGGCTGGAGCACAAGGCCACTCCAGAAGGCTGCATTGGCTCTTGCTGCATGTGACTACTGGAAGCACTCTGCCAGATGGCTATGGCACTGGGGAGTGGGGCAGGGGAAGAGAATGGAGGGATCACCTGGGCTCCAAATGGAGTAGCAAACAAGTGAAAAATGGAAAGCATACCAATTAAAAAAACAGAAGGGTGAGACAAATGAAAGAAAGGACAAAAACAAGGGAGCAGCACAAAGAACAAAACAGGAGGCAGGATGTGACAATTCCAGACACAGCATAATGGGACATGGGTGAAAGGCAGACTGGATCTTTAAGAAACTCATAATACATTTATAATTTTAAAGTATTTGGCTGCAAGTAACTGCTTGACAGGAGTCTTTGAAAAGGCTATAAACAGAAAAATGAAGACAGAGACACAACAAGGGTTATGAGGCTCCTAGGGAAGACAACCACTAGTTTTTAGTCTATATCACTAGACTAAGGGTACATCTACAGTACAGGGGGGAGTCGATTTAAGATACGCAAATTCAGCTACGTGAATAGCGTAGCTGAATTCGACGTATCGCAGCCGACTTACCCCGCTGTGAGGACGGCGGCAAAATCGACTTCTGCGGCTTTCTGTCGACGGCACTTACTCCCACCTCCGCTGGTGGAGTAAGAGCGTCGATTCGGGGATTAATTGTCACGTCCCGACGGGACGCGATAAATCGATCCCCGAGAGGTCGATTTCTACCCGCCGATTCAGGCGGGTAGTGTAGACCTAGCCTAAGTAAATGGAAGAGATGAAGGCAGGGCACCCATGCTAAAATACACAAGCTTCTTACTAGTTGATGTACTTATGGCCCATTTTTGAAAGGAGATATACATTTCACATTTCTTGTCCGAGGAGCGAAGAAAGATATTCAGTCACAAGTTCATTCATGAGGGGCAAGCTTTGTAGTGGGCCTCAACTGACTACTTGCATCCAATGCATTTACCCAAAGAACCAGGAATACAGCTCGGAATCATTAAATAGGCTTTGTATTGTGTGTAACACACCATGTTTATTATTTAGGTTCTCAGACTTAGTCACGGACTACAGAGCACTTGCCGATAGTGCTGGCTCTCCTTGTTTTGAGCTGCTTTCAAGGATGTCCAGGTTCTTCAGTGCAAAGGAGAGCCTGGAGTTTTGCAGAAGCACCCAGAAATAAGATGGGACCAGCACAGCTATTCCAATACAGGCTGCTGCAGAATATACACATTTGAACCTTAAGAGAAACAGGATTACAACTATCGCTTGGCTGGACTCGTACTCTTTAGCACAAGGCAGATTTCAATTCCCCTACCTCTCAAAACTGCATCTCTTGAAACATACAGATAAGTCTCAGTCTGAGACCATCGCCGGTGCCCCAGTACCTCGTCCCCAACATCTGATTTCAATTTCTTCATAAGAAGAAAGCAGTCCCCATAATTAAGGGTAAGACACCCAGAGACTGTTTATAGAATAAGACGTGTACACTCCCAAGGTAGCCCTGGAATCCTTGAAGGAGTGCACAGTGTCATCCGTCTTGTTGGAAAATAAGACTCACCCGTCAAAGGGCAAGTTCAATGGCTTGCTGGATGTCCAGAGCAATCCCAGAGATTTTGCAACCAGGAATCCCTCCTTATAGTTACCACAGAGGCCATGACCCTGGCCAAGGTAAAATCAAAAGTGAAGTTTTGGCCACCAAACAGCCTACTGCAACAAATGCCTGGAACTCCTCACATGACCCCCTGGGCAATTGGTCCTCAAGTTTAGCCATGGCTGACAACTGAAGAAATCATACTTGGCCAGCAAAGCTTGTTAATTAGCTATCCTCATCTGTACAGACAATAGGGTATAGATCTTCCTGCCCAGCATATTCAACTGCTTGGAGTCCATCTTTGGGTGGTAGACTTGAATGTACCCTGCCAGGCCCTGTCATTAACCACCATTATGACCAGGAAATTCAGGGCCGGGTGGGAATAGAACCCTTCAAATACCTGCATGGGAACAAAGTAGTGCTCTTCCATGCATTTCACCATCAGCAGTACCAAGGCCGGTGTTCTCCACAGGGCTGTCACTGGCTCGAGGAGTGCATCATTGACCGGGAGGGCCATTCTTCCAGGCACAGCAGGGTGTAAAATGGCCAGTTTATGCATGTTCTCTTGGAGGAACTCTGACTGGATACCAAGGGATGTGGCTATGTGGAGTAAAAGGTCCTGGTCCCTTTTCAAGTTCTCCAGGATAGAAGGGGAGGACAAACCAAGCAGCACGGCATTGTCCAGCAATGAGGATGAAGGTCCTGGCTGAGCCAAAATAAGCTTTTGCTCCTGGGAAGATATACCCAGAAGGGAGGACTCCAGCAATTCCGCAGGGAGGCAGAACGCCAATGCCTGGGCCTGCAGCTGATCCGAAGCCACCATTGGCGACCTGGCATGGCTTTGGCTTCAACCAGGATGAAAAGCAGGATCGGTGAACAAGAAACATCCCACTGAGTCCAAGGCCACTGATGTGTAGGGCATTGGTGGCCAGTAGGGGCCGGGCCAATGACCACGGTCCCTGCCACCGGGCACACACCAATCCTGGGAGCCAAACTGGTCCATTGGCAGTCCCTTGAGTTCCTCAGGTTATGTGGAGTAGAAAGATGATAACTCCGACTTGGAATCAAAGCCCTAGAATCTCAGCAACATGGGTAGAGTGACGCACAAGGGAGCCAACAGGCGGTCCGATTTATCCATCACCCAGAACGAGGAGGGAATCTGCGATGAAGACAGTATCATCTCTGTTGAGCATGCTGGTGCCATGGGCAGTGTCAGTCCTGGTGCAAACATCAGTACCAGAGCGCCCGAATGCGTCAACGTCAAGGGTGGTGAGAGCCATCATGAGAGCACTTGCAGCGTCAAATGCAGTGGGGCCGAAGAGGGTCCCCAGTGCTGAAGTCCCATGCCCCAATTGCGGTACAGGCTCCATCCCCACCACAGGAAGAGGAAGGTCTGGATGCAGTGGCGACAGACACGGAGGTTCAGCAGCTTGCTCCATTGGAGGGACTATAGGTGGGATAGCCCTAGACCAACGGTTAGATTCAGAATGAAAGGCAGAGGAAGTCTGTAGCTGCCTGATACAGACAACTTAGAGTCGACACTGGCATCTCCCTCAGCAGTACTGGACTCAAGGGGTGCCTGGAGGCCAGAGTCAACAGTACAGGGTTTCTGCCCTCCCCACTCGGTGCCGGGGAAGGGTCAGAGGTACTTGTGTCATCCTGCGCACCAGAACCAGCTCCGTGCCAGTCTGCGCTTTTCCTGGGGGAGGCAGAGCAGTCACCCAAGACTTGGAAGAGGTCTCATAAGACTAATCAGGACCACTCCTCGGAGCCAATGGAGACCAGCTCTTCTCTCTCTTTGATGAGGTGTCTGCACTGGAACAAGGGGCAGCAGTGCCCTCCAAGCCCGAGGGTGAGCTTTGGCCTGAGAAAGGCCTCGGTACGGGATCAGACAGCATGTCCTGTTCAAAAACTTCCTCAGGCAGCATCCAAGGTATAATGTCACCTGAGTCTCCTTTTTAAAAATGATTTACAGATCCAAACAGTGCTCTTTTAAGGTGGGCCTCACTGAAACAAAGCAAACACTGCCACCTCTTATAGCTAGGAGAAGGGTCACAGCCACAAGTGTGGCCCCTCTATGGGTAATGGTAGGGAAAAGTCTCCAGCTCTGGTATGCACTCATCTAAGTGGAATAGATGTCTGCATCTACTCGAAGAAGAATTATCTGATCTCTAAAGATACTTTAATGACTTGGACCAAGATATTTTTTAAAATGGATGCCTAAAATTAAGCTCTTAAATAAGCATATGTTTAGACACAAATAAGTGGCCTCATTTTCGGAAGTGCTGAACACTCAGCAGCTCCCCCTGATGTCACAATTACTATTGTTTGAGAGGACAAAGGGACTGGCAGCTGGCCTAAATGAGG